TTTTGTTGTGTTTTCTTTTTGTTTCGTTTTGTTTCGTTTTGTTTTGTATCGTTTTGTTTTGTTTTGTAGATAATTCAATTGTAATCTTTTTTACTTTTTGCTCCTAGTGCAACGTCTTGTTGCTACAACTGTTAACCTCTACATCACCGTCATTACAAAGGACAAAGATAGGACAGTAGTCATGGCAACTCTTCAGGCGTTGAACGAGATGCTAACGAACATGAAGGGTGCTGCGCTGGTCGGTGAAGGTCACGTGGACTCCATCGTTGCGGCTGTAAGAGCTATATTTCTTCAACAGGTAAAAAGATTAATTTTGTAAGTCGTTGAAAATATCATAGAAAAAAAGATTTAAAAAACCGCGCGCATGTCTCTGTATTGTGAAACAAACACCTAGAAGCTGTAGACCTCGAGAGAAGCAAGATTGTTTTTAAGCAGCTATTTTATATTGCTTTTATAAAATATTTTTAAACGATTTTGCGCAAGCACGTCTGTGAACTTTGATATAAACACGGTAGCCAGCCAATTAGCGCTCTTTATATTTCAGATGTACCCTGCATCGAAATATTGATGCCCGCAACTTTGCACTCGAAGAACGTTGCGTTTCTCCGCGTGGCAGGTTGCTTAGAGACAAGTGGTTCATATCAGTTTCGTGTGGGTTTACAGTAGGAAAGGAAAATATTTGTTCCTGTAGCCTGTCTATGTCTCTTTCTGCTTTTCCTGGAAACAGTAAACTGCTCAACTATAATGTCTCTCAGTCTTGATGGCACTTGCCATGCTTGTCGTGAGGGTTGTTGACGATTTTGGTGCTTGTTGCATGTCAAACCCAAAATGTATTATGGATCATATGTAATTAATGTCAGCACAAAATATATCGGAAAAACGCACGAACAAAGAGATTCTTTATGTATTTATGAATTAACTGTTATAAATCTCGCGTTCTAATTGGTTGGGAGCCCGTGCTTGATGAGAGCACACAGCAAACGCGTGCACTTTCAATTGCGTCATTACTATCTAAATAAGCGGTTACTGTAATTTGTATTTTATTGTTTTTTATATGCTTGCTGTGCTGTGTGCAGTTATGAAGCACTTGGGGACTGGCAGAACACTCGAGAAGTGTCGAGAAGCACTTCTCTCGTGTTGTGCCAATCCCCACGTGCTTTGTAACTGCACACAGCACGCGCGCGCGTTTTCTATTTCTTAATATTATTGTGCATTTTGGGTTTGCTATGCAATACGAACAAGACCTTCTAATGCATCTACCACTCCTGGGTGTACGGCATTATGCCTAACAGGTTTTGCAACCCAATTGATAAAGGCACCCGATAGATCGAATTCAAACTCAGAAGTTGATTTTTGTGAAGGGAGGAAAACCGGAGAACTCGGAGAAATCCTTGAAGCACAGGAGAGAACCAACAAACAACTCTACTCACATACGACACCGAGCCTGGCAGGATTCGAACATGGGTCACATTGATGAGAGACGGCGCATTATGAGCAGCTCACACTACCCGTGCTTCCCCAAACTCTATTGAAATAGTGGTATATTCAGTCTAACGATTTTTGATTTTTTGATTGTTAGACTGGATGTCAAGAAGACGAAGACGAATCATATGACGGTGATGACGATCAGCAGGCGGAGTTCGACGCCATGTTAATCGAATACTCGGGAGACTGTCTACCAGCCCTTGCTAATGCTATTGGTGGCCAAGCCTTCGCTCCTTACTTCGCAGGATTCATGCCACTTCTTCTTAAGAAAATCGTTAGTTGTCTTGTCTTTTGCAAAATATTTCTTATCTAATTGTTTATCTTCCTGTTGGAGGTAATAATAACGCATCTTGAACAACGTTAATGCCACTTTTGATACACTCTTTTTGAATGTGTAAATTTCATTAACTTTGGTCTGATCATCTGTTTTCTTCAGCGCAAGTCGTTACCAACATCAGACAAATCGTTCGCCATTGGTACCATATCAGAGGTAAGCTGAATTTTTTTCTTTCTATTCTAGCAGCATTATGGACATTGGAGTTTCTTAAATTTAAGTGTTCTTCCCATTTGCCACACCGTTCTTGTCTTATTTGATTTATACTGCTATTAGCATAGGTGGATTTAGGTGGGGGAAAATCTCAATTTTGGGACTTCTTAATCTGGCCCATCCCAAAACCTCATAAATGAGACTAGGTGACTAGGCGAGCAAAGACGCATGGGATTAATTCCTTAATCAAAAAATAATTCGCTATCTGATTGGCTATTCGTGTTGCCTCAGATTACATCGAGATGGTTTAACAGACTGACAAATAAGATTGGCTTATTTGCGCAATCATTGGAAATTACTAGTGAAATAGCCATTCAAAACTGAATTGATAGCATTCAAAATGTAGCATTATTTTTATATTTTTTTATTTTCAAGGTTGTTTTGGCACTTGGCCCAGCGACCATTCCTTTTGTCCAACACCTGTACCCAGTCTTTGTTGGAGCACTCAAAGACCCGGATGATGAAGTACGAAGTAATGCTACATATGGACTGGGACTACTCGTCATGAATGGCGGTGATGTTATGGTTCCGTATCCTTATCAAACAGTAAAATGTTACTCTGTTGGTTCTTCCTACATAACTCGCCAAAATTATGTTACGACATTACGATTTATTTTTCTTATTTTCTCTGATTATTTACAATCGTTATCTCATTGTTCCTTCCCAACGCCCTATCCTATACTACTCTTCCATCCTTTTTTCTTCTTTTCCCTTTCCTAGCTTTTCTCTCTCTCCATACTCCGAATCGAAGTGGCAACCTATTTTGAAATAACTATTGTTCTGGACTGACTAGACTCTCTTACATGTGAATACAGTTTTGTGTTTCCACGTGAACATGAGGCTAGTCAACTTAGGATAATAGTCATTCAAATTGGTTGTCATATTTCAATTTGGTGTATTCTTTTCTCTTTCTTACCCTTTCCAGCTAACTCACAGATCGAACCCTGAAACAACGTCTGGCCTGATCTAAATCAGGGCACGGCTAACTCACAGATCAAACCCTAAAACAAACTCTTGGCTGATCTAAGTCAGGGCATGGCTAACTTACAGATCAAACCCTGAAACAACCTCTTGGCTGATCAAAGTCAGGGCAAGGCTAACTCACAGATTGAACCCTAAAACAACCTCCGAGCTAATCAAAGTCATGGCATGGCTAACTCACAGATCAAACCCTGAAA